GTGCCAATTCCGACATTCAAACGCAACACAGCGCTTTGGCATCGTTCAAGCACACCGGGAATCGCACGGCGTTGCTCGCGTCTACCAAAATGGATGTCTTGTTTTCTACCCAGTCAAATCCGGCCTGACAAAACGTAAGTTTTATAACCTGGAACCGGCAAGGCCGGAAAAGGGTGGATTCAGTTGCAATATCCTCTTAAGAACGGCCAGAATTAGAAGACGGTCTAGAAAACGGGGCGAGATCATCGCTCATACTTTGGGATTTAAGCAAGTTAATGCAAAGCGAATACCATTTGTACCATTAATTACCGATGAACGTGTCTAAGAGTGCAGCGACCATAGTGATTTATTTCTGAAGCGAGCAATGCGTGGCGCCGCCCTGCATTGCTATTGTCTCGCGAATTCTGCATACCCTTGTCCAACTAGAGTGACAAGGAAAAATGAAAGCCGTTTACAACTCCCTGTAACGCCGAATTAGAGCGCAGCTCTTGAGGAGGAGGAGGGAAGGGTACTGGGGGGTGGGTCAAGTGACCTCGGGGGGCGGGGGGGTCACGTGACCTTGGGGGTCACGGGACCTTGTGGGTCACGTGACCTTGTGGGAGTCACGTGACCTTGGGGCGTCACGTGACGTCGGGGGGTCACGTGACCTGGGGCCACGTGACGATACCGATGACGTCATCAGTAGCGTCACTGATGACGCCATCAGTGATGATGATGACGATGCGGATGCCGGTGACGTCATCAGTGACGTCACTAATGACGTCATCAGTGATGATGACGATGACGATGCGGATGCCGGTGACGTCATCAGTGACGTCACTGACGACGTCATCAGTGCCTATGACGTCAACGGGGGGTCACGTGACCTCGGGGGGTATCCCCAGGTCACGTGACCCCAGGGGGGGTCACGACCTGGGTAACCATCGTGACCCTCGTGAGGGTAACCCTAGTAACCCTTGTGAGGGCAACTCTCGTGACCCTCGTGAGGGTAACTCTCGTGACCCTCGTAAGGGTAACTCTCATAACCCTCGTGACCCTCGTGAGGGTAACTAACCCTCGTAACCCTCGTGAGGGTTACGAGGGTGAGTAACCCTCGTGAGGGTAACTCTCATAACCCTCGTGACCCTCGTGAGGGTAACCCTCGTGAAGGTTACCCTCACGAGGGTTACTAACCCTCGTAACCCTCAAAAGGGTTACCTTCACGAGGGTTACCCTCACGAGGGTTACTAACCCTCGTAACCCTCGTGAGGGTTACAAGGGTAAGTAACCCTCGTGAGGGTAACCCTCGTGAAGGTAACCCTTTTGAGGGTTACGTAACCCTCACGTAACCCTTACGTAACCCTTTTGAGGGTTACGTAAGTAACCCTCGTGGCCCTCGTGATCCTCGTGAGGGTAACCCTCATGAGATTAACCCTCGTAACCCTCGTAACCCTCACGAGGGTTACGAGGGTTGCGGTTACGCCGACGCCGACGCCGACGCCGACGCCGACGGCGACGCCGACGCCGACGCCGACGCCGCTCAAGCCGGGAACGGGCCCCTAAGAGCTGCGCTCTAAAACAACCGATACCGACGAGCCCCAGATGCGTTCAGAAAGCACGGGAATGGAGCTTTTACAGGATTGCAATCACTCGAGCGTATTTTACGATCACCAAGAGATGCATGCAGCGCCAAAGGCACCATGTTGTGCATGCTGCACATGTTTGAGGCATGTTGGTGTCGGCTGTTTCTGTTTGCCGCTCTAGTGGGAATGGGTCGTTTGGTGCGCACGCTAACCAAGAGATAGCTCCTGTTCGGCGCATGCGCACTCGTGAGCCCTTATTTCTTAAGGGTCCTCTAACGTTGGGGCCCCCTATTCTAAAACTGCCTAATATCACGCAGGCGCCTGCCGAATGCCGACACTGCGAGTGAAATGCCGGAAAAAAGCCACCATATCGTGGATCGACATCCCGAGCCGAGTAGAGTCCCCGAACTATAATCTCTAAACGTCCCATCTCGACGTTCATAAGATAACTTGTATTATTTTTTTATTCGACAACTTCCAGTTCGGAGCGGAAGGGAGTGGCCGTTGTTCACAATAGTTTGCTACTTTAGGTAGATTTTAGGAAAATAAGGTTTTCGTTTTTAATTTACTTTGGCATTGAAAGAACCTGTTTGCAATTATTATGTACGAATATGCAGATTCTAAATAGCTCCACACAAGGAAAAAATTTTCCTCTTTTTTCTTTTTTTTTTTGTGCTGACATCAGGACCCGTCAATGTGAAGCATATAAGGGAAGCTCATGGTCAACGCGAAGTGCCTTATCAACTGCGCCTCTGTCCCCGCGGTCCATACATGGGTAAATTACTTCCAAAATGCAGTTTAATTACAATTACAATTACTTTGCTCCAGAAGCTGTTTAACTACAATTACAATTACTACTACGTGAAAAGCAATTTATTACAACTATAAATTACTTTTAAAGAGTAATGCAATTACTTAACAATTACTTATTTCTGAGCGTGACCCGACTTGGGTCATATAAGTTTAAACGAGTTGTATAGAATGCAACGTATTTCTTCATTTCTTGCCCCAATGTTTGACTTAAGCATCGCTGCATAAATGTCACGTATTGTACTTTACTTTTATGAATTCTGTTAAATTAATGATAGAACGACAGTTTGAGGCAATGATCTCCTACGTTATTATATTTTCAGTGGCGAATAGTTAATTAGTTCATATCCTTGAAGACGCCGGATCGCTGAAGAAAATTGGGCTGACACACTATTGTTAGTGAGGCAAATAGAAATGCGACATTTAGTCATATGTGAATATTTTATTGATGTTAATGTAAAACTATAATCCACACGAGCTAATACAACCACATTTACATATAGTCATCATGTTATAGTAAATTGTTTCCATTGAGTTGGCTTTATAATGGCTCAAAAATATATTAGAACCGAATCGGGGCGCCAGATCCACGGGTGCAAGGTCAGTCTCCAAAATGCTTATGTAAAAAAATATTCGAAGTATAACCAAAAGGAAATAAACATGAAAAGAATACAAAGAAACAAATATGCCTCAGTACCAAAAGACGGACGTAAAAAACTGAAAAGAAAAAAATTCATAGACAATTAAAATCACCAATCTCGACTGAAGGCTGAAGCTCAATTTTGTTTCTTTCAATATTTTGGCATGTTTACGCTATTATTTTCTGCTCGCACCGCAGACGGCGCCAAGCGGTGCCGTTGAGGTAGGCTCCAAAGAAGATTGTCTCTCAGCCCGCAGTGTAAGCAACAAAACCACAAACAACGCGACGCTATTTTTGTTGTGCGTGTGTGTGCATGCGTGTCTATGTGTGCGAGTGTGTCACCGAGCGCTAGGCCGCTTGCGCGAGCGTTGTGGCTTTCAGAGAGATTCCGCCGGCGCCACAAAGTCTTGCAAAAGTGATTGTAATTGTGCCCGAAATTTTGCAGTTACTGACGCTAGAAAGTATTGCAATTACGTTACAATTACAATTCCTTTTCGCCGGAAGTAATTAGCTACAGTTTTAAATTACGAAAAAGTAACTTAATTACAGTTTTAAATTACGAAAAAGTAACTTAATTACAGTGATTCAATTACTGTAATTAAAAAAAACGCAGTCTTAGTTTTGACATTAATCAATGCAAAACGTCACACTTGCATTGCTTAATGTCACAACTCACTCTGCGTTCATTGGTCTAAACATATGTTTCTGCATCGTCATTCGCTGAGCTGCCTCCGTAAGTTGCGTTCATTGGTTCTCCGAGTGTTGTGCGTGAAAGTAGACGCACAGACTTTTTTTAGAGTGAACTCGAATGCCATTTACAACTAATGATATTTGAGCGGACGGCCAATCAGCACGCGACACTCCGGGCGTAGCGCATTCCACGCGCGACTGAGTGCGAGCTGATTCGCCGATCGCACAAATGTCATTCGTTGTAAATGGCATTCGAGTTATCAGCCACCTGGCAAGCGCTCTCCAGAAAAAGAAGCCCACTCGCGTGGGGCTATTCATTATCTCCATGACTGTACGTTAATAATTTAAAAAAAATGCCACGATCCTTTCTTCTGTTAAAAGCCTATAGTATATTTTTGGTGGTCTTAATAAGTTCTCTGCATTGAGCGGCTTCTATAGCGTTTAAAATTTTGGAATTTTTCATCTGTTATCTCTACCACTATTATACTAGGGTTGTTCAGGAAAACAATGAAAACGATGTGTGAATCCTACCTTCCAACAGAAACCGGACATTACCAGAGACATTCACTGAACCCTTACCTTGTTCGCCCCAATGTTTAAAAACAAAAAATACACCGGGGCCCATTGAAACTTACTTTTATCCAGCCGATAAGTACTTGAGTTCGTAAATAATTTTTCTCTTTTATTCCACAATTAATTACATGTCGAAGATTCTGATTCCGAAATCTCTTGTGTTACAAAGTAGTTATATTATATCGAACTCCTTCCTGGACTTTTTTGTCCTAAGTATGTAATAGATTGTAAAAGAAGTTACTCCTTGTGTGAACGTGCCTAGTTGTGAGAGGAATTTGAGCGACTATTCTCTCGGGATGTCCTAACGGGATCTTTCAGAGCCTACCAATCGACACCTGGGAATGTATGGGAAGTGTATATTGTGGAATGTTTCAAACCCGGCTTATTATAAATGTATGTATATTTGAAATTTTTGTGAAGTGAGCTATAAATATGAGGTAATTCTGTTTCCTTCATTCCCCCACGCCACATGAGGCCCACAAGCCAGAGGCGTGGTCGTTTAAATAAACGTTTCAATCAATCAATCAATCAATCCTTCATTGATTTCCGTCTTTACTCTTCACACTTCAGCATTGAAGAAAAGCTATTGGAAAAGAACTATGCAAGTTTTGTGCTACCTTCTTTCATGAACCCTATTACTCGCTGCGATAACATATACTGAAAATAGTATTGCTGTTCCGAACCAGAGTCCGTAAAAAGGTGAACAGAGAAAACGGTACAAAAGCCATATTACCAAAATGTATTTTTATTAGCGAGTTACCTACTATTTACAATTCCTTTAATGGAATGAAGAACACCATTCCCACAAGACGTACACTAAATTTTCACGTAACCTCTATATATGCTCGGGTCAACGCAGTAAACTTTGAGACGTGTAACAAATATACAGCACGATAGCATACAATATTGAATTCACGCACTCGATGGGCCGCATTCATACACTGCTTCGTAAAACGAATTAATCGCTTCACGTTTCCTCGATGAAGAAAAATAAATATGTACAAAAGAAATGCTCCCTTTGAAAGCAGGTACGCACAAACGGAAAATGCTTGATGTTCTGCTTGATAAAAAGCAATAACATTCAACCATTTTTTAATTATGGTGTAGCATCGACCTTGATAGTTGCGAACAGACAAAAAAAAAGGCTTCAGAGCGAAGGAGAATGAAATATACACAACAGTAATCATTGTGAAAAGAAAAGAACTTCAACGGAACCAGACACAAATCTTCGCTCATGCTAAAATGCTAAACTGTGCCTCACTCAGAAGATAGAGAAATTCCAAAAGTTTACGAACGCGGTTTTAACAAAACCATTTGTTCACGTTGGGCCACATGAGTTTCCTGAGAGAGGCAGCAAAAGCAGCGCATAATTTTTAGCACGTCTTAGAAGCTTATCTGGTCTCTTCTACGTGTACAGAAACAGACAACGCGCGGGGCAAGCGAATCTTCTATCTTGGGCGTGCACTATCTGTGGGCCATATACAGGTTAAATAGAGACATATACCTTGTTTCTAAAACAAAAATGCACCAAGAATTAAAAACAAAAGACCACATAATAAACGTTTTGAGCAATAAACCCAACAGTGATATCTGCTTTAGACATCCTATATCAGCTTAAAATACCAAATGAACCTTGACTTCACACAGAAAGGGTGTAAGCTACCTGGTGTAGACAAAACACGATGAAAAAACCTGCGATAATATTCCCTAATGTTCGTTCCCAAAAATAAAAAAAAAATTAATGGCTGCCCTAGAGAAAGGTAACAGTTCTGGATGCCTGGTGGCAAATGTCACAATTTCTTCCAAAAGCGCGATACCGTCATTAAATATCTGACAATATGAACACCAATGAGCTCAAGCTTACACTTCAAGTTCATTACTTTCACAAGATTCACCTTCTTACGCTCACTCGACTTTTTTTTACTCCTCCCCTTTCTTGATTACCCGCTACAGATGTATTGTTGCTCCTAGAAGTGGAAGTTCGACGTCGCAGCGACGCTGCTCACAGAAAATCTGCAATTTGAGTTGTGGTTTAAAGGTATTTTCCCACGTTTTGGATGAACTGAGCATGAATTACGGTGCATAGGCGTAATATAATTCTAATTAGAAACACACGTTTTTAGGTGACTCCCGTTTTCATCTCCCTGTTTTGTTTGAAAATATTTGCTCAATGTTGCTTTTCATTCTACCAAAAGTGCTGAAATAAATTACGACTCTGATTCCCATCTGACATGGTTTTATAACCACTAAGACTTTATTATATGTGTTATCTCAACTATAGATACTTCAAAATATGACACATACCAAAACACCCTATATTAATTTTTTTTTTTTTTTTTTTTTACCTTACGGATCATAATTGGTATTCAAATCCCATGAGCTCGAACAATATTACAAAACAAAAGAATAAGAACTCTTCAACTTATTGAGATGACGGCAGCTTAAAACTGTAGTACCCATGAAGCCATCAAAGGTAGTTCACAGTGGAAATCATTCGACTGCCATACCAAAAATAAGGCAGCACAGGCTGAATCCAGAATTTTGTCATTTTCCATTCATAATCACTCGATTGTATTCTTGTAAACATACACGTTTCGAACGTCATTTACAGGTTAGGCGTCCTCTGCTAAGCTCAGCGTGTGTCTTGCGCCAAACCTGCGCCTGGCAAGACAAGGACAATGGTGACATAATCTCCAGAAGGACGTGTCCTCCGGTTACAAGAACTGAGATCTTGATAGGGCGAAGGAGAGCAGTAGGGAGACGGCGCCGAGCGCTTGGGACACGGGCAGCGTCGTGGCCGCGGAATCGATGACGTTGTCGATAGGCCGGAGGGGTTTGCTGGGGCGCTTCTCTGGAATCCACTTGGGAGTGGGCTTGGGCTTCGGGGCGGGAGACGTTGGAGCTTGTTTCCTGGGACAAGATTTACAGGTGAGAGAGCAGTGAGCAGGGTCGTTTAGGCGAACGACCTCTCATTAAAACAGGAGGCTGGGCCTCAACCTGTCCGGCCAGGCACTTTGGGCAGAGAACTGTACCTCCGAGATGTACTTCTGTCATGATACCCGCGCCGGAAGAGAGTTTATAGCGTAAGCGGTTAGGAAACCAGTGATGAAACTCGATTGAGTAGGAAGGTATTGGCAGAAAATTCAGCCGTTTTATTTTATAGAAGGGACAACTCAACCTTGAAAATTGATGGGTGGTAAACGGCTCGAGGTTCGTAGAAATGGTACCCCCAAGAAGCTGGACATCAAGTACGCATCTAGAAGATTCGCCAATTAGTGGAGTTTATAGGGTATTTTTTAATGAATATATACTTGATGTATATAGACTTTATATACATCAAGGTAGGAGAATCAAGCTCTTCCGTTAAATCTGCTTAAATAAAAATAATCATGCATTAACCACCGTAAATAGCGCTATCTGCTCTTTGATAAATTAGGTGTAAAAACATACTAAAAATAATAAAACGCTCAAATTAAGCGGTGTACGCTATCTCAAATTGTTTTATACTGAGATCCAAAAAAATAATATCGCTAAACAAGTTATCATAGGAACTAAAAGTGCCAAAATAAATGGACGGAGCAAAGACGACGACACTACTAGGCGCTTTGTGTTGTCGTCGTCTTTACTCAGTTCTTGTCTTTTAGCGCTTCTAGTGTGTAATGCCCCAACTAGTAGCACGTGGAGCCAAAGCTCGCTCTGCGGAACCCAAAGATCCTGGGTTCAGTCCCCATCCCTACCCATCTCGATATGGATGGGCATCGTATCGGCGTGCGGTCGTGTATCACTACTGCGTGATGCAAGCTAAAGACCCCAGGCAAGCAGTTGTACTGCACTGGCTAAATTTCTCATCTACACTGAGTAACAGTGTCGCCATGTTTTTGGCAGACTAACCTCCTGCTCTATAAACAACTAATGACTTACTTTTACCCAACCATTTTGTAGCTAAACATAGACGTATTTTTCTCACAATCTTTATTAGCTTGGTTTTACAATTATGGAACCGTAATTCCGCACATACAGTTTAGAAATATGTGACTGTGGACAGAATAGAAACAAATCAGAGCCATTCTAGTCCCCGATCAGTTGCTAATGAGCGCGCCATGGTTTTACCTGATACTTTTTTTTTTTGCTTTATGTTGCCTAAGTGATATATTTCATCGTTGTTACACTTACAGTGATTACAAAATGAAAACAAAATTAAAAAAGCGATATCATAAAAAGCTTCATTTTTTTGTTAAACGGATGAACAATATTTATAACATTCTTAGCACGAAGAACCTGTATACCCCGAGATATGTTTATTGCTTCTTTTGACTGAATATGAAACTCTTCTAAAATATAGCTTTACTATAAGTTAACCATACTGAATAAGGTTTTTTTGTTCTTTTTAATAAACCGGATAAATGGTTCGACTAGCTTGATACAGTTGTGCCACATCCACTCGGAACAAAATGATAGCCGTCAGGATAAAGAGTTTAAAATCAATTGCGCTGTAGACCTCTTCAAAATGCACCTTTTGTTTTTCTTTCAGTGTGGCAAATGCTCAACTTCCGAACCTCCGTCCTGAGATGGGTTCCGAAGCGCCTGAAGGGTCTTTTGTCTTTCACACTCCCAATGGGACTATCACTTCCGGAAATTTCACGATAAAACTTTCCTCACCAAGTTGTTTCAAAAACGGCACGTTTCTCGGCTGTTTATAGGCAATAAATAGTCCTGAGGAAATAATGTTGCACTCACCTCTTCACAAGGTATGGCTCCCAGAGGTGGCACTTCTTGGACCTCGGTCCATGGGCGACGCTGTAGTCGTTGGGCTTCAAGATGACGTATGCCTTGTCCTCCTTGGTGTATTTGGGCCAGTCTTGGTCTGTCTTGGGGATCTTTGGCTTACTGCAAAACAAACAGTAAATCACGTTGAGTCGTCTGTCCTTTAGGTTTTCAGAGAATATTAGAAACGGCAAATAGCTTTATTAAACTTCTCACCTTCTGTTCACGTAAAAAAAAAAAAAAAAAGAAACAGCTTGCTTTTTTTTAATACGTTATAGTTTTGACTATGTAGAAAAATTGTGACATAAAAAGGGACCGATTCGGGTAACGTGACCGCTGTCTGTTAAATTTGACGGCGCCCCCAATATTTACCCAATTTGGTTGGCTTCCCTTCAAAGTTTTGGCACATATTTTACGTAGAATAATTTTTTCCCCAGAATGATCAAAACAGGCTGCAATTAGAAAGAATGACAAAAAACATCAGTGAGAAAAAGAGCTCGGACATTTGGCCGGCGACACGGCTATAGTGACGTCGACATCAGCTTGCCCTGCTGAAACAAATCCGAATACCATTAAACATAACTAATTACATACTTACAACGCGTCTTCGACTGGTGCGCTCAGTGTTCCATATTAAGCATAGATCAAAATGCCCCCCTCCCCTTTCCCTCTAGCGGCCACAAGGTACGCTTTAGGAACCTGTGGGAAATTCTAAGGATTGTCGTGATTCTGGTGATCGGTTTTTAGAAACGCCAACCGAGGCAAGCCGATCGTAAGGGCTCCTGGCTCCACCCGTGACTGCTGTAGTCTCCGTTTGCTGGACAGCTGCACAGCAAACTATGCAACAAAATTTACGCATCTACCCCCCCCCCCCCCCCCCCTTGCTGTGTCACAGGAAGGATTGCTGCGCGTCGCAATATTTTCATTCCTGATGTCACAAGGAGGAAATGCAAGAGGGTACATTAAAAACGCGGTAAACGTACCAGTCTGAGAAACGTTCCAGGTACCGCTTTACTACATGCGGTTCATTCCGCAGGCACTTTTGGGGTTATTCGATAGATGCTCGATCATCCGTGATGGAACCATAAGCAAGTGTTCCAAAATGCGCCTTTCGTGCATCGGAACGCAAGGAACGCGAGGCAGTCAAGCGGGCGAAACCATTGGTTGAGGTCAGGGGTAAACAAAGCACGTGCCACGTTTGGGGGGTAAACACACGCACGTGGGGAGCAAAGAGCAGAGGAACTTGCAGGTCGTATAGGCTGCATAAAAGAAGGGGGACACAGAACCACGAGCTATGTAGATTAGGAGTAATGCGGGAAAGTCTAAGGAAAAAGAGCACCGATATTGGAATCATTTGGCATGCCCCTACTTTTTATAGAAACCATCAAAATATTCAGCCTAGGATATTATCCCACTAACAATGGCACAACCCTATCTGCATAGCATACTATGATGCTAACTACATGCGCGTTTCGTTGGAAGCAAATCTGGAAAATAAATTGCAATAGATTCAATAGACCAATCTCATCAGTCAGTTTGACTACGCCAGCGCAGCCACGATGCATCAGGAGAACTTTAGTCTTTCTGCACGTGCTGGAGCTCTGCACTGGAGCTCCAGCACGCGCAGAGCTCCTCGCTGTAGCTCTGCGCCTGTAGAGCACGAGAAGGCACGAGACTTCGCGTGCACGGCCGCCTGCCTCCTGTGGTCTAAAGTTATGGCGGCGACACGCCTCCGCAGAACACGTAGTGAGATCGGTCTATTCACCACAACATATAGAGGAGACGAACGTCCAGGCATCGTAAAATGAGCCGAACTAATGACGCGACGAAGATGGCACAGGAGAGCTTACTGAAGCTTACTTGTCACGTAAATTCATCCGAAACTTTAAAAAACCCCGCAAGAAACAAGGCAAAAAAAAAAGATATTGATCGAGTCACTTCTCGCCCTATCCCCAGACGTTTTGGACGACCTTGACCACAACCCTGCATCACGTGCACGGGACTACGTAACACCTCAAGCGAAGATTTCAACAATTTAAGACGAGCTAAAATCAATTTGAAATGAAGAGAAAACAAAAACGCCCAGATGAAAACTAACTTTGCTCGAACTCGCCAGCTGAGGAGCCCTATTTCCTCCGGCCGGGCGACTAGAGCGCTAAGGCCAAGAGTTTCAGGTCAAAGGCAGAGCAGTGCGTCCCAGAACTCGGATAGTTTCTCTCAGGCACGGAACACTTTTGGGAAAGAGCGCCGCCGTAAATATCGCGACGGAGAATCAAACCAGTTTACTAGGGAGCCGTGAGAAGCGAAGGTCGGCGGATTACTGAAGCAAATTAAAGCAGCGACTGCACGATTTAACCTTGACGGAGGAAGGCAGCACGTCGAGTATACGTGACAACGACTGTTCCGGAATCAAGCCAAGAATCTACCCGCCACGCGTGCATTTCCACGCTCTCGTGATGCTAATGCTCCACATGTCCTCCGGGCGATACCAGAGATTATACCAGTTCCTGATCGCAGAGAAGTTACCACTTTCAACGGAAATCTGCGTGCTCGTTTCCGCAAAATATATTCCTTTTTTTTTTTTTATAAGTGCTGACTTTTGCATATTTTGTAATACGTTTCTTTATAAATCACTTTTTTTGAAATAACGAACAAACACAAGACATTTTTTGTTATTGTTTAAAGTCTTTAGCGCGCGTTTTCTTAGTCGCGCGCAAGCAACAAAATAGTGGCGCTTTCATAAATTTTAGTTTTATGTATGTACATGTTTCGCTTGCTTAGAAAGTAATACGTAAAACCAGACAATTAAAACTCAAGGAGAAAGAGAGAAGTTCGTATAAAGCGCAAAACCGTGTCAACAAAAACATAATAAGTATACGACCCTACTCGGTGCTTCACAGTACATATACGACATATTTAAATGGCTAGGGGGCAAAGTACAGTGCAAAGTAGACGCGCAGTACAAATAATATTCGTAAGTGTAAGAGGGTCATCCCCACGCGAAATACTATTGCGTGACGAAACCCGTGAAACACAAGGGAAACGTATACTCCGTTTCTTAAGTTGCGCGCGCGCACAGTTGAATGAAAGCACGGATGAAAAGGCTCAGGGTTGCGCGAGTGTTTTCGCAACGCAAGCGCAATGAACGTATCCACAGAGGAACGGCCATCCCTTCTGCATTCATGAACGTTGTGGACAATATCCCCCGGGGGGAAGGGGGGGGGGGGGGGGGTTATGAGGTTTTGTTTTTTACAATATTCAGAATGCTACGATGCGAGCTACAAAATAATTTCAGTTTCGTTAGCATTAGATTTCCTATACGTTTTCACATAATAGGAATGCTTAGTCAGACACCTTAAAAAACGTAGAACGATGCGATTCCTGAGCATTGTATTGTTGTTCCACAGTCAGTAAGATTGGTGCATCAGCCGAAAAGAATTCGAAACAGCAAATCACAAAAGCGAGACGTGACGTGTGAATGAAATAAATTACGCATTGCGTTTTGCTGCGAGTGACTATTGTAATGTTATCAAAAACAAATTCACACCTTTGAAAGCGGAGCGATACCTTCAAACCGTAATTGCAATATGCGCAAAAAAAAACATATATATGGGGTTTTAAACATTGCGTATAAAACCCGAGGTGGTAAAAAACGAAAACGCTGTTGCGTTTCTCAGTGTTGTTATCAGCGATCAGAGCCGTCGGACTGGGACTCAGCTGACCGCGAACTTTACCTTTTTTTTTTTTTTTTGATAAAAAAAAAATTAAGTCCGATATATTTTCTTTTTATGAAACTTACCCTGTTCGACAGAATTCAGCGACAGTGTGAATAAGCTCATCAGAGAAGCGTAGCTCTTCGAGGTTAGGTTTTAAATCCTTGAGGACTGCAGCGAACGGCTCTCCATATTTGGTCTTCAGGGCAGTGCCAGCTATCCTCACCGTTCCGAGCAAGAACGGGAGCTCTTCGTTGTGCGTGACTGTGATCCAGTTTTCCCAGAAGCTGAATGACGGTCTGTGTCCAAACAAGTATCGAAACACGGACACGTTCTTGTCGTTTGCGGCATCGGCGAAAACATCAGTGGCGCAGTTGAACCCTAGGTCCGACACAACGGTTGACAGAGTCATGAGAACCTCGGTTTCTTCCTGCCCTTCCGTCTGACTGAAGTAAGCATCGGCAAGTGGAGCGCTTTGGGCGGGTCGTATGTTGTAGAAGCTTTGCAGGAAAGCCCGTATAACAGTGGGGCCGTCTATTAGGCCTTTGAGCCATTTGAGGCGAGACTGAAATTGCGTAAGCAAAAATGCTCCGTCATCCTTTACCGTACCGATGAGAACATCCTTCACGTGAAACTTCTTGCTGTCAAGTTCGAGCGGACTATTCGGCAACAACGAATCTCCGTACCTCGGTAGAACTGCGATATACTTGAAAGCCAGACCTTTTTCGCTTTCTTGACTAAGTCGGTGAGCGTCAATCTTTCTTAAACAAGTCACGCATTCGGATAGCTGAGTTTTGAAAGGCTTGTGGAAATCGATGCAGTTAAATATTCGGCAGACAGCTCGAAAAATGGTACCTTGGTCATTATTATCCGAGTAAGAAAGCGAGTTTGGAGTGCCGCTAATCATTATGGCACGTTGAAAAAGGCCATCGCTCATTTTCGACATCACGTGATAGCCAACAGATATTGATCCCGCACTGTGACCAGCAAGAGTGATTGCACTGGGATCCCCTCCGAAATACTTGATGTTCCTGTGAATCCACCGCAGGGCCTCAAGTTGATCGTACAGGCCCATGTTACCTGGTGCATCCGGAGTGGAAGAGTTCAAGAACCCCATAATCCCGACTCGATAATTAAAACTGACATAAATAAGATTTGCGCGGGCGGCAAACTCAATCCCGTCATATAGAAAAAAAGCACTGGATCCCCAGCTGAAGAATCCTCCGTAAATATACACGAACACGGGAAGCAAACCACCGCAGGCTGCACCATCCCCACGGCAGGTCCTCTTGGGGGCCCAGATGTTAAGCCTGAGGCAGTCTTCGTCCGTGTTCGACATGTCAAACTGGGCACCCTCGACGATACTGAAGTTGGTTTGCACGCAGCCCGGATGCATGCGGTTGGCCTGAA